TAAGAGGAAACTCAAAGGAGTTAAAGAATATGTTGCTGCCTCAAAACTTGACCGGCATCCTATTCTTGCCACTCGAGAGGAACAATTTATCACCCTTCAAATCCTAGATAATTTTCCCAAACAATAGAGAGATAATGGTTTTACCCATATCAATTTTGGTGCTATCCGAATCGCTTTAACATATCATGGAAGAAAAGGTCAACCTGTTGTAGCTCGACTTTCTCTTCTAGATACAAGATACTTGGAGTACCAATATGCAAATTTGGGTACTGCAAAAGTTACCTTTAATGCTGGGACTGTCTTCATAACTATCTTTCCAAATTTCAACATGTCCCTTTATGACCCATACTGTCACGCCCCAAAGGCCAAACCTGAAGAGGCGTGGCCGGCACCCGGTGCCATATTCGGCCAGAGCGTACCACTCTTTAACTGTGAACTCTGGAGGGGTAACCCTCAACTTAGGCCGATGAGGCCATATTCTGAATCATCTGAAAATAACGTCTACAACCAACAATACCAAACTAAACATCTGCATAGGGCTCGTAAAGCCATAATGCTGATATAAAAATGTGCAGGACTCGTCTACAAGCCTCTAGGGATAACTGAACTGTATCATGGTCGGGACAGGGCCTCGACCTACCCATCAAACCTGTATATATAAAATAGACTCCAAGGTATAGACCTAGTAACTCCGAGGAAGTGGAGCTTACCAACCAAGCTGATGTTTGACTTTGTCTACTAGGAGGGTCTGTCCAACTGTCAATGAGGACCTAAAGGTATGCTACCTGCTGATACTGACTCAACTCTCTCAATATAGTAAGTAAAATAGCTGTCCATCCTTATAAGGCTCGGTATGTGTAACCGCTATGCTGTAGTAGGCTCGCTCATAGGCGCTCGGCCATACTAGGCTCTATATCTCAGCCGTTCTGGGCTCGCTCATAGGCGCTCGACCACAGTAGGCTCGGTATATAACTCACCATCTGATTAGAGGTGGCCTAATTGGGGCCTGCCCATCGATTATAGCTCGATGGTAGTGAAAATACTATAATACTGTATATATATATATATATATATATATATATATATATATATATATATATATATATATATATATACATAAATTGAGGAATATGACTCCATGCTCTCTTGGCTGAAAGAAGACAAAACTAAACTGAATATTAAGTCCCGATAAGGGAGAATGCTGTAACTTATGAGACTAGGAAAATGTACATAAATTGAGGAATATGAATTTCTCTTTATGTCTCGTTATCAAACACATGTAGTTACCGGATCATGCCAAAATGAAGGAAATGTTTAGCCTTAACATACCTTATCAAAATCTTTCCAATAACCAAGTTGAACTTCTCTTTGCACCTTAATCTATAACAACGATGATAATACTATCATTAAGTTACGAAAGGTACAACTATCGCACAACGAACGACAAGCTTATTTTGTATTAAAACGGGCCGCATCTCCCCTATAATTCTTGCTTCCTCCAAATTCAAGATAACACCAAAAACACAAGAAAACAACAATAACAACATATATACAATATTTTCCAACCTTATATACACCATAAAATACCACAAAACAGCCCAACACACCCCAATCTCTCCATACACAAAACGACCACCGTAGTAGTGTCAAACGACCCGAAAATGTTACGACGAACGAACAGACCTCCACCCTGAATTTATGTGGTTTTTCTCCCCCACCCTTCCTCCTCATAAAATCCATAAAACAGTAGTAAAACACGCAATCCAACAGCAACACAAAACAGCCCACAAAACAGCCCGCTACAAGTGAATAACTCGAACTTATGACTTCTGATCATCGTCCCGTGAGTTCTTACAATTATTGAAGGACTTTATTTACATCTCCAGTATAAAAATGGATTAAAGAAAGCAGTAAACTTACCTAATTTGTTGAAAACTCCACTCCTATCCTGGTTCTTCAAACTCTAGGTTTTACCTCCAACTAGAACTTGAAAAGGAAAGAAAATCAGTTAGGATTTGTGGGCAATTTTTGGGAGGATGTTTGCAAGGGTTTAGGTATGGTTATTGTGTTATACAATTGAGTGTTATATTGCAGGAGATAAGCTCTTAAATGGGCTCTTTGGCCGACCCGAAATAGCCCCTTTTTGGACTCTCGTTTAAGCAAGTAGGTGACACACCTACTTGTCACCTAGCAGTCTGCGCAGTCCCACAGAAACGCACATATCTCTTTACTCCGATGTCGTATTGACAAATGGTTTAATGCATTGGAAAATTGACTAATAAATCTAGGTAGATCATCCCCTAATTCCAATTATAATGGGAGAAAAGCTCAGCTACATTTGACCTAAGTTTCTACACATTTATGAATGGGACTTGTGATGACCTTTTACAATTTTTGTTCCACAACTCGCTCAACTTCAAAACATAACACACGACTATCATACGACTAGCATAACTCATAACATAACCTCCTTATCATGTTAAGAACTCTAGTCTCACCCCAAAAGTACATGTTATAACATTCCCAACTTGTCGACTTTCGACGAAACATAATTTTCTTCAATTCCTTAGCTTCTAAACCTTCCAACCCTCTTTGTACTTGTTGTTCATGATCTTCAATATATGTAACATCTGAGCTAGCATGATAACTTAATTTATATACTTCCAAAGATGATCTCATTTTTGGTCTTACATTAGTTTATTTATGACGCATTTTTACGTACGAAAACATGGGGTGTAACACATACTTAACCGAAGCACTAAAAATCCAAGTCCAAATCTAAGGAGCCCCACAAGCCAAAGTTTCCATCCAAGCCACTCTTCATCACCAAGTGGCGTGGCGAGTCCAAAATCATCCATGGATCTTTGCCTTCCCGGAGGAGAAAATACTTTACTCGTGAATATTGATGCTACCAAAGGAAACACCATGTGCACCCAATACCCAGACAAATTTCCAGAGATGAGCTTGTCAAAATTCTTCCTGATTCCTGGATCACAAATTATGAAAAGTTAAGGGAACCAGAGGAATCTCTGCAATGTGATGAGCCAATTTTTACCAAAAGAAATGACAAAACCGTTTCCATAAACTTTGACCATTCCCATCTCAAAAGCAATAAAACCATCTTCTCTTGCCTAATGATTCAACCCAAAGATATAATACATACATACCCCGAACTTGATGGAGAGTTCTTCTGGAATATACAAAGCATCATGGAAGAACATGACTGGTGCCAACACTTTGACAAACATGGTAAACAATTTTGGTGGTTCAAGTGCCCCTTCATGGGACACTGTCCATGGGATCTTGGATGCGGCAACCAAGACTATTTGGAAGATCCAATTGGAGAATATGATGAACACCACCTGCGTCATTGGGAAAGATTTGGCCTCAACGAGACCAAACCAAAATCCAAGAAGAAAGGGAACACCAAGGAAAAGCAATTTCGAGCAAAATATGAAAGTAAAGACCCTTCAATTGGCTCATTAAGCTGTCCAGGTAAATATGAATTTCTTGTCAGTTACAAACCCCAAGATTGGCCAAAACTACCAGAAAAATTCACTCCAAGCTGAGAATATAGTGAAACCATACCCAAATCCAAACTACCATCAGCTCATACCCCAGAATCCAAAAAGCCAACTGAACCTAAAACTTCACCAACTCAAAAAACCACAAATCCCACACAACCACAGATATTCATGCTAAGTCCTTCAAGCTCCGGTCATACCCAAGATTTTCCTTCACTTCATCCTTTTGAAAAAGAGGGTATAAGCCATGCTCCAAAAATTCCCAAGAAAAACATAGTGCTACCTACTGGAGAAAAACCCCCAACAAGTGACATCGAAGCAACAATGAACTGGTTATTAGAAAATTCAATCTACCAAAACAAAGTGTTGAACAACTAAAGAACGTGGCCCATACACAAAACAAAATAATGAGAAACGTGGAAACAATTAAGAAAAAGGTGGAGCAGACATCGTCTCACCATGTAGGACTAATCAAAGTCTTGGAACTAAGGTTGGCAAATTTACAATATGAGATTTGTCCTAAGGAACTTCACTTTTCCGATTCTTCCAACAACAACAAAAGGAGACAACTTCCATCAAAGAACCAATTCATCTTTTGAGAAATGACCACTTTGAGTCACAAAAGACCCCAGTTTTCCCCTTAAAACCTACCTTCTTCCCTTTGTCACCACAAGCTTATTCCCCACCTAAATTGGACTACACATTTTCTACTTTTCCAACAGCCTCACAAAGTCCTATTTCTTTCACCCAACCCTTAAAAGAAGAAAATGATTTTGATATTGCAATAATGGATTGGGAAAGGAAAGATGCTCTTGCAGCGCAAAAACAAACCAAGAAAAGGCGAGATCATGGTAAAAGATCAAAAGGGTCCAACCCCGAAAATTTGATGATTTATGATCAGAAGGCTCCAGACCTCTATGTCTCCCAACCAAGAAACTTGTTAGAAGGCGATACCACATGGTCGGAATCTCTAAATTCATCAGACGATGAAGCGATGGAAGATAGCTCTCAATCAAGCAAGGAATCCACAACAAACTCCTTCAAAGATGACGATCCCCCAATATTTGTAAACCAGCCAAGAGATCCAGAAAAATCTGAAGTAGATGAGGAACAAGAAGGCATGATAGATGAACCAATCCCAGAAAGAAGATATGAGCCCACGGCGTCAAAACCAGTTGGAACTGGTTTCCACACTTTCAGTTAGATGATGTCAAGGTTTCAAAATGGCCTCAAAGGATCCAAGACTTCTATACTTGGATGGTGACCAAAAATTTGGTGGAACGAAAAATTTATATCATCTTGTCAGAACTCACTTCACGGTTCTAAGGAATTCTCAGAGATTGGTGGAACTCACTTGGAATTCAAGATAAAAACACTTTTCTTACTTCCCATGACTTTGCCTTCAACATCAGAATCTTACATGAGGTTTTCTGTGGAGATACTGGCCAAGAAAAGATACGAAGATAACTCTTCGAGATGAAGTATGTGTCATTCGACAGAAATGACATTGACAAGCATTATCAGAAAGTGGCAGAGATATACTTCGAGGTCGGTGGAGACATCAATCTGAAGCAAGCCTTTGTCTCTTCCCTTCCTAAGTTGTTGGCAAGTCGAACCATGACCATAATTGAAGAAAAGTTTCAGTCCCATAACCATCCCTCAAGTTGGCTACATAAGGCAAGCTATTTTCGTTGCATTGGATGACATTTGTACGAAATGCTCTGCCCTAATACAAATTATCCAACACAATCCAGCGCTTGACAAAGCTTGCCGCAAATCTGATCTGCATACCGGATCAGGATGTTCCTGCCACACATCTAGGCGACGGAGAGGATTCAGGAGGTTCAGATGGCAAAGGATTCCAGATGAGAAATCAAGGTCCAGGAGGCGCAAAAAATATTTTCGACGAAGGAGACCAGGAAATTTTCACAAAAATAACAGATGCTTTATTTTTCACAAGATTGGACATTTTGCAAAAACTTGTCCCCAATCGAGGAAATCTGTCAAGCTCTTGCAAGAAATTGAAGATTACATTAGCATACATCTCGAAAAAGAAGACGACCTCGAGTCTATGTTCTCTATGGACGATGAACCCACTGAAGAAACCTTATTCTCTCTTGATATATATGAAGATCATGGTGATGACCACTATCAAATTTCCGAACCAGCCGCTAAAGCCCAGGAAGAGATCAATGCTATCATAGTCATCCCTCAAGTGGAGCTCAAGGTTTATTCATCCAAACGGGATAAACCAACTCAAGTCACTGCTTTCATTGATACTGGAGATGCTTGTTTACTCATGAATCCTGTTGTTCTCCTGGAAGATCAATGGGTTCCGTACTTTAAGGATTTCAACACTACATCAAATGGATTCCACATTTTCAGACAACTAAAAGATCAACTCCAGATCAAGGCTAACTGGATAACCCTAAGAAGCAGTTCCAACCTTATTATGAAATTCCAAGGCTATTCCAAATCACCATCGACGAACAAAACAAAGAGATTCAACAAAATCTCATAGAACATTCATGTGCTGAATCCCACAAAGATTTAATGAAGAAAGGGAAAAGCCCGTTATGGATGAACGAAGAATTTTTTTTATCAAGCTCCCTTTCAAGAAGAATAAAAACATCAATCCAACAAAGGCAAGTCATTTAGGCATAAATCCAGATCATCTTCAGCTTGCAAAGAAAATATGCGAAGAACTCTTGTAATTTGATCTAATAGAGCCATCAGATTCACAATGGGCATGCGAAGAATTTATGTCAACAAAAGAGCTGAGCAAACAAGAGGAAAATCAGGTTAGTCATTAACTACCAGCCACTTAACCATTTCCTCCAAGATGATAAATTCCCTATCCCAAATAAACTCACTCTTTTCTCCCACTTAGCCAAGGCTAAATATTTTTCCAAGTTTGATCTTAAATCTGGATTTTGGCAATTGGGAGTTCACCCCGAAGAAAGAGCCAAGACGGGATTTTACATCCCCGATCATCACTTCCAATTGAAAGTCATGCCCTTCGGATTAAAATCGCACCCTCCTTGTTCCAAAAAGCCATGATAAAAATATTCCAGCCCATTCTCCGTACCTCTTTAATTTACATTGATGACATCCTGTTATTTAGTGATACATTAGAGGAACATGTCAACTTGCTTCGTCAATTTGAGGCATTGGTAACACAGTATGGGATCATGCTTTCAGCAAAAAAGATGGTTTTTGCTCAAAAGGAGATTGATTTTCTCGGAATGCATTTTGTCCAAGGTGCATACAGTCCAGGACCACATATATGCCCGGAACTACTCAAATTTTTAGATACCAGCCTTACAATAAAGCATATCCAACAGTTCTTGGGTGTAGTCAATTATGTAAGAGATTTCATCCCAAATACCTCTACGTACATTTCTCCGCTCACAGAGATGCTCAAGAAAAATACACCATCATGGGGAAAGAAACAAGATGAAGCAGTTAGAGAAATAAAAGAGATATCTAAAAATGTCAAGTCCCTCTACATCCCTTCAGAAGGCAAGAAGATACTGCAAACTGATGCCAAGAATGAATATTGAAGTGCCATTCTATTTGAGAAAAAGATGGCCAGAGGAAAATATGCGGATATGCCAGCGGGAATTTCAAAGATGTCGAGCAACATTATCCCTCCACTTTCAAGGAAATCCTTGTAGTGAAGTATGGAATCAAGAAATTTAATTTTTTCCTGATTCATACAGAATTTCTGATAGAGATGGATATGAAGGCCTTCCCAAGGATGATCTAGATAAATGCAAAAATTATTCCAAATCCTCATATTCTCAAATGGGCTAAATTGTTCTCTCCATACAAGTTTCAAGTCAAGCACCTGAAAGAAAACGATAATATTCTCGCAGATTTTCTGTCTCGACCGGAAGAATTCTCAAAGAGATTTTCCCCAACAAAAATGATGTCAAAGCAAAAGTTAATCATCCACATCTTCACATTTTCAAATGTACCACGAACAAGTTCATTGAAACCAACGGATCATCCACCGAAATTGTTCAACCTCACGGATGCCTTTGATCCATCAATTTTAATGGAAAGAAGAACTTATTATGAGCTCCAAGTTTTTTGACAACATGGAGGATTCATTCTTAAGCCTTATGGAGTCAATCCAGAATATCCATTCTGCCACATATTCATAGCACAAGCGAAGGATTTTCCACAAGAACTATTATAGTTTTTCTGGTACCTATGCCATAAGTATTATATTTTCATGGAATTCAAATGCAACGTATTCAAGGATTTGGATAACATTGAACCAGCTCTTAAAGTATTTTTACTATGGTTCAAGCCTAGAAGATATTGGATAAAATATTTCAACGATTCCTACACAGCAAAGGTATTCATGTTCCATAAGCTAGTGAAAATTACTAATGGAAAAGTCCATGCGTAAGCAGAGGCATTGTTCTGGTGGAAATTTTCCGTGTCCATTTATCCATGGAAGAAGAAAATAGTTGTAACGACCCGACCGATCGTTTCGCATGCTAGAGCTCCGTCCAGCAGTCGGAGGCCATGAACAGCTTCATTTCCGGTATTATGACTTGTACGCGTGGTCGGAATTGAATTTCGGGAAGTTCGGAGTTTATTTGGGAAGAGAATCCTCATTTCGGAAGCTTAAAGTTGAAAGAATGAACTAGGATTGGAATTTTGAGTAAACGACCTCAGAATCGAGATTTGAAGGTTCCAGCAAGTTCGTATGATGATTTCGGACTTGGGCATATGCCCGGATCGGGTCTTGGATAACCCGGGAGGGTTTTGGCGCCTAATGTGGAAGTTAGCATTTTAGAAGGAATTTCTTAAGTTTGGCTTGAAGTGCATTTCAGTGTTATCGATGTCCGTTTGGGATTCCGAGTTTGGGAATAGCTCCGTATGGTGATACTGGAGTTGGGAACGCGATCGGAAGTGAATTTGGAGGTCCGTAGGTCATTTCGAAGCCATTTGGCTAAAGATAGAAATTTGAAGGTTTTTGGGAAGTTTGACCGGAGGTTGACTTTTTGATATCGGGGTCGGAATCCAATTTCGAAAGTTGGAGTAGGTCCGTAATGTCAAATATGATTAGTGTGCAAAATTTGAGGTCAATCGGACGTGATTTGATAGGTTTGAACATCCGAAATAGAAGTTGGAAAGTTCAAAGTTCATAAAGCTTGAATCGGGGTGTAATTCATGGTTTTAACGTTGTTTGTTATGATTTGAGGCCTCGAGCAAGTCCGTAATGTGTTTTGGGACTGGTTGGTATGATTGGTTGGGGTCCCGGGGGCCTCGGGTGGATTCCGGGTGGCTAACGGATCCAATCCGGAGTTTGAAGAAGTGCTGAGGCAGCTGGTATCTGGTATTTCTTCTTCTGCGGAAATGGGACCGCAGAAGCGGCCCCGCAGAAGCGAAGAAGAAGCCGCAGAAGCGGACGAGGGCGAGGGCGAGGGCGAGGGCAGCCAGGACCGCAGAAGCGGCCCTTGATCCGTTGATGCGGAACAGCAGAAGCGGTTGGCTCATCGCAGAAGCGAAAATGGGCTTGAGCCTAGGGACCGCAGAAGCGGAATATTTTCCGTAAAAGCGGGACCGCGGAAGCGGGATTATTTCCGCAGAAGCGAAAATCCCTGGAGGCAGAAGGTTAATTTAAAGTCGGGGATTGGCCATTTCTCTCATATTTCTCATGGCTTGGGGCGATTTTGGAGAGCTTCAATGAGGGGATTTTCGTCGTCAATGTCAAGGTAAGTTATCCCCATCACTTTTGTGTTAAATATATCAATTACGTATGGATTTAAGTATGAAGTTTAGTGTAAATTTGGGGTTTTGGTTGAAAACCTAGGAAATTAGAAATCTTGGATTTTGATTACGATTTTGAGTATGGAATTAAGAGAAAATTATATATTCGAGTTCCTAAGGTTATGGGTAAACTTTATCTTCGAAAGTTTTGGATTCCGGGCACGTGGGCCCGAGGGCGTTTTGGTCAACTTTCCAATCGGGGTTAGGAATTTCTATAAATTAGTTGTAATGAATATTTGAGCATATATTAATGGATTTGCGTAACCATTGGCTAGTCTTGGAGCGTGGTGCATCAATTGGAGTCCTCGGAAGAATGTAGAATGCCAGCTTTGAGTCTTCGGAGCGAGGTGAGTTCCTTTCTAATCTTGTGAGGGGGAATTTACCCCATAGGTGAAGTAATTGATTATGTGCTCCTATTTGTGGGGGCTACGTACGCACGAGGTGACGAGAGTCCGTGCGTAGCTACTATTATGCTATTGTCCGGTAGTTAGGACCCAAAAGCATGTTGCACGTGGATTAATTGTGAACCCATTGGTAGCTCGAATTGTTTAACTCACATCGAATTAGTAAGTAAATTTCTAAAAGGATTAAACTTTATTTCTTAAATTGTTAAAGGAGAATTGGTTTTATTTGAATAAATATTCCCCGATAAGTTCTTATTTGACCGATTGAGCATGTATTTTATGTGTGCCTGCGTCGCATGGATGATTCGCGAGCAGGATATGTGTTTATTTATGGAACGGGCCGAACGCCTCGGTAACAATAGATGCATCTATGGTTCGTGCCGCTCGACCCTCGGCAGTGCACAATTTACATTTCCGTTGGAGCGGGCCGTCGACCTCGGCATGATTTGCGCGTGTTTATCTGTTACTTGAAAATTTTAAATGTGGAATTGGCCCTACGTGGCTTGATATAAACTGATAAGATAATAAAGAACAAACTTTAGAAGCCCTGGATTTATTGTTGAAGGTGTTTACCTGTTTTTCTGGCTTCACAATCAGAACTTCTATACAAATCCATGATTTTCCTCGCACTTATAGAACATTGCTAATTGACCTCTAGTGAGTGTCGGAGTTGGCCATCTCGTCTCTACCCCTTCAGGATTAGGCGGGATACTCACTGAGTACACGTTGATTACGTACTCATACTACACTTCTGTGCATTTTTGTTGCACAGGTATATATACCTCTAGCAGCCTATTGGGCGTAGCAGCACGAACGACTCTGGGACTAGGTGAGCTGCATTGTTCGAGACGACCCGCAGCCAGTGTAGTTCCTTTCAGCATTTTATTATTTATTCCCTGTCCACTGTATTTCGGACAGATGTTGTATTTTACTTTCCTTATTGATAGTTGCTCATGTACTTGTGACACCGGGTTTCTGGGATGGGTTTCAACGGATTTGTACTAATTGTTATTATTTAAATTTGAATTCAAGTAGTGAACTTTTATTTATGAAAATGGAAGGAAAAACCTTAGATTTTCAAAAGTATTAAAAGAGGAATTAATTGATAATCTAGTTGGCTGGCCTGACAGAGGTGTCCGG